AGTTATCTCCTGTTCCCACCACCTCTGTGAAACTAGGACCACCCCAGCAAATTGTGTCAAGTCCAGTCAGTTTTATTTGTTACGCCAGTAGCAAATGTAAAGGTTCAAAGGGCTTCATGTGCATAAAAATAACATACTAAAAACAGGGAAAGTCGTGTATTAAAAGAGAAAAAAGGGTAAAACAACAAATATTAAATCAGACAAAACAGAGAGAAAGAGAAGAAGAAGTTATGAAGAACACTGAAATAACAGGAAGACATAAAGAAGACATGTATGTACCTCGATGTGGCTTAATCTACCAGTTAGTACAGCTGTACAGTGCAACTAGAATCAGTTGTCATTATTAAGTAAGTACTTTAAGATTAAAGAAGTTTGGACACATATCAGCAGCAATCAACAGATGAACAGAGCCACAACAGTACTGATAGAAAATGCATGCTTAGAAAAGCTTAACTTTTTTTTCATGCACAACACGGCATCATTTTGGGCCTCTCGTGTGTTACATTACATTTAACTCTCAGAGCGAAGCTGTAATTTTCTTTTTAAAGAAAAAAGATTTTTCCAACATGACAAACTATTTATAACAAAAAGGACGCCTGGCTTTGTGACACATTCATATTTGCGACGTTTCATGCAATCCATCAAATTAGTGCTGATATATTTCAACGTGAAACAGCGTTATGGGCCGACTGACACTCCCATCCACAGAGCCGCGGTGTAGATGTGGCTAAAATGTGGTTTGATGGGTCAGAACCTTATTTTAACGACATATTATCACACACAAAGACGATGTCATCATTCACCAGACATTCCCTGAAACTTGCGTTTCTCTCATTACCATCAACCACTGCGACCATTCAGCTGCCTCTCGAGACTTGAAATAAACATGAAGAGAAGTCTCAGCAAGCAAAGACACTAACCACCAAAATTGAGCACCACTTTTACCGACCAATTAACAACAGGCAATTTAAAGGCCCCTTTTTGTTTACACAAATTGAACGCATCCTGACAGCTGCAAAGGTCAAGCCAAGAGATTCCTCTTCCTCCAGATGCCTCTGATATGAAGTCACCTCTTATTCCTCATTGGGTAAAATAGAAAACATTCAAATGAGGTTATCCATACTGGCTTTTGTTAAGAGACTTTGTAAGCATATAGATATTTATTCCACCTCGAGGGAAGCTGGGCATGCCGCCAGGTGCTTAGCTAATGGGATGGTTTTTATTATAAGACTGAAAGGAAGGAAGAACATGGAACATTTAAGAAAAAACAAAGGGAAACATGCACAAGACTGAAACTACATGCTGCTATTTTTTTAACTTACTTCCACAATTTGTGGTGTTTTAGGGCTGTTGTTAGGGAAGTTGGATAGCTATGACGAACATGTCCTTGGGGACCAGCAGTCAGTGCAAGACAAACCATATTTCACACAGCTGTGTGTCCACAGCTGTTTTTCTGGTTCTGGTGAGAGTCGTTTGGCTTTCGTCGACTTGCATTGTTTTGTTTTTATCTGCTAGTTCTGTCAGTGCCATCCCATACCCAGCTTTGGGCTGCTGTGTTTTTTTTCCAGTACGACAAAGTCAATTACCAGAAATTATTAAAACACAATCTTTTTACAAAAAGAACAACAGAATTATAAAGTAAAGTATACATTTTTATTTTTGTTATTTCTAACTGCATGTCAACTGCCTTGCTAAATTTAAAAGGTGACAATACAAATGTATGATTTATTATCTTTCATTTAGTGTTGTGTTGGCATCGTATCAGAAAAACAGGATTACTCTCTGGTTCCTGCAAAAGTAACATATCAGCTATCAGTACCTTTCAGCAGTACCTTTAAGTTAAAAAAAAAATAAGGTGTTTAAAAATTGAAGTTGTTGCTATATGTCCCAGGAGTTTTCAGATTCCTTGCTTTTGGGGGGATTTTGTTACCTTTAAGCAAACTTACGTTTAATAAGAGCTTAACAAAATATATAAATATATGTATAATGGTAAGTATAGAGACTGGAGTTTCTAACACATCAGCATAAAATGCGCGACAAGTTCAGGAAGATGGGGCAGCACGGTGGAACGGTGGTTAGCACTGTTGCCACACAGGAAGAAGAAGCAGGTCCTGAGTTCAATTCCACCATCAGGCCGGGGTCTTTCTGTGTGGAGTTTGCATGTTCTCCCCGTGTTTGCGTGGGTTCTCTCCGGGCGCTCCGGCTTCCTCCCACTCTCCAAAGACATGCACTTAGTGGGGATAGGTTAATTGGTTAATCCAAATTGCCCATAGGTGTGAATGTGAGTGCGAATGGTTGTCTGGCTCTGTGTGTTGGCCCTGCGACAGATTGGCGACCTGTCCAGGGTGTACCCCGCCTCTCGCCCTATGACATAAGCGGACGCGAATGGATGGATGGAAGATATATTGTATTTTCACCAGTGGGCAAAGAGGGAAAGTTTGAGCAGCCACAGTATTGTTTTTACCTTCACTGCCCCCATTGTTTCCTTCTTCCTGCATTCAGAAGGTCATTGCGATCTTCTCTCCCGAGTGCACAGAATGAACTTTGCACAAGAGGGTCTGGATTTCCCTCTTCAGTTCAGCCAGCATGTGACGAGCGGGGCAGACTAGTGAAAATAACATGAGCCAGTTTTATGAATAGTTCCATTTAAAACGGACCGGTTTCGGTGAAGGACTAATGATGCCATAGCGCTGGCGTCACAGACGAGGGGGTGGGAGGGGGGGGACAGAGAGCATTCTTTCCAGGCGCTGGAGCAGCACTTTCAGACTGGGAGGCTGGAGTGAGATGGTGTGGCAATTTTCCATGTCACATACATCACTCATAACACCCAGCTGCTCTTCATGGATCTGTCCAGTCACAACAGTAAAATTAAAGCCTAGATAAAGCTGGCGATTTAGCACATATGTCAACACGCTCTGAGATGACTGTGGGAGTGATTCTCTCTGATTACAATGTTTTTTTAACTGTTTTCTTTAAGTCTTTCCACAGGCTCATGATGGACTCCATCATCATCCTGAAAGCTATCAGTTCTTCCGGCCACTGGAGAAGTTCAACAATGCAAAGCCAGAGGCCGGAAAGGCTAAACAGATGATGTATAGCTCTCAGAGCCATGGACCACTGCCACAATTGTTCCCGATGTAATATGCTTGTTGTTTTAGTCTCAATCCTGGATTCTACAAATAAAAACACAAACACACAGTGACAGGCACAAAAAGAGGGGAATTTATTTCAGATAAATTGAGCATACCACTGATTCTAGCAGACCTCAGCAAATCACCTCATATCAGTTCCAGCCCACATTAAATAAAGGCTCAGCGGGTTCTCTTTTATGCATCCAGCTATTCAAGTTGCCTGCTCACAGTTGTGGCCAAAATAATGAAAAAGAAATACAAATATTAACAGTAACTTTGTAAATCTGTCCATTTTCTGAACTGATTATTCATTCCAGGGTCACAGGGGCACCAGGCATAGGGTAAAACCGAGGTTTAACCCTGGACATGCTGCCAGTCTATTTCAGGGCCAACACACAGACAGACAAGCATTCTCGCTCACATTCACACCAATAGCTGATTTAGAATCACGATTTAATTTAGCACTACTTATAATTACTTCATAAGTAATTATAAGTAATATCTTGCTGCAGACGTACACATTTAATTACAGGCTATGTTTTAAAGTTTTATCACTATGGTCACATAATGTTAGTCTTGGAAGTTAGGGTTATTTTCATAGACTGGACACACCTCTTGTAGACCTGCTGTTTTCACAAGCTGAGGAGTAAACTCAACTTGAAAATGAAGTTCATGTCTAAAAATGGAGCTGTTTGATATATAATTACATTATAGCAATCTTTGAAAGACTCACACAGTCACTGTATGATTTCTGTCTGCACCAGAGTTACCAGTGACTGGCTTGCAGAGCTGTTTGCCAGATAGTGAATGTAAGTGCAGTGGCATCCTGGATCCCAGAGCAAAGACCTCAGAGCTGCACACTTACTTACACTTGTATCCGTTAGAAGAGCTTATTATATTAGCAGCCAATGGAAAACAGAGGCGATAGCTTATCTAGCTCACATTTTCCTGCAACTAAAGATAGGAAAGGGCAAATATTTTTGTTCCACAATTGGCTGGAACATCCACTGAACTGTAAATGTAAGAAAACGTCAAGAGGCATAGGCAGGGCAATGCTGAAATGGTCAGTTTGAATACTTAAACCCGTATCAATGACATTTAAAATAAAAAATAATAATAATAATGATTGTAAAAGAGGAAACCCGTTAACCTAGCTGGCATACTTATTATACATATATGTTTATATATCTGTTAAGTCGTTTAAAACTACAATTCGGAGCCATAGTTAACATGTGGCGCCTTAGATTTCTTAACGGTAACTGCAGAGAATGGAAGCCGTATCACAGATACTGTACTGATTTTATGCCGCCATCTAGCGGTGACACATCATATTGCACCGTGGACACCCATAAGTCGTAACACTTAACTAAATGAGAAGAAAGGCTTTTCGTTTTCCACTTCTACTTCATTTTCAATAATACATATTACGACATATTACCTGCTATTTTCACGCATTCTTCAGTCATTTTTTTTTAAATATAACAATGGTAAAGGCAAAAAATTTAAAATAGGCACTAATAATGAAATCACTCAAATTTGCATTGCAAAACAATGAACTGTGTTTCATTGAACTGTAGATTGTTTCAGTGCAAACTATTAAGAAAAATGTGATATACTTAGTTGTGTATTTCTGTTTTTACAGTCATGTCTGTGTTTTATGTGCATGCAACAAAAATTAAGTATTTAAAAAAATAAGTAAAAATGTAATTTTGTGAACTAAATTGATACATAATTGCGTGCTGATAATATCAAACCTTTCATTGTGTAATATTTTTATACTAATCGATTCTACATAATATGTCTGAATTACTGCGATTACAAGTACTCAGGAATGATAGGAGACTATTAAAAAACACACAGAAACATTGATCCTTTTTGCAATGAGTAATTTATTGTTTTTACTTTTGTATAAAATCTTTTGTGTCCACTTTAGGCAACAGTTAGCATGAGAGTAGTTCTCACAGCTGTTAGATGAAGTCTAAACTTATCAGTCTTCTCAACAATCACACACCCCATTCACGCAGAGAAAACACACAATCACATAGTGTACTGGAGTTAATTCAGTGCAGTGGTCCCAAACCTAAGTTTATAAGTAGAAAGCCGAGGACAAAAGCTCAACAATAGGCAGCTTGTAATCATCATCACTTCAAAGATGGTACTATATCAAGGCAAGTCACGCAAACACAAAGAGCCACAATAAATCTGCAGCCTCACAATAACTAGAGGAGACTGCTTTGTTAGAATCTGATGGATGAAAGCATCATTTAATTAGGTTTGAAACCACTGCTTTGGTGCAACTTGTAAGCAGATTTAGATTAAGACAATTTCAAAACAAAAAAGGCAAAGAAACACATCAGACATCTCATACACGGCAGCACATCCTGTGTTCGGCGAGCAGTTACACAAAGCAACAGCTGTAATTATAGGCAACAAAACAAAGGACTGATTTTGTGTAAGAAGAGTCGGCACGCTTACGCAGATCAGTACTAATCAGACCGAGATTAGAAAAAAAGACACTGAAAGAGCAGAAATGCGGTACGATTGCATTTACATAATCATGAGACACCTCATTCCATAATCACCACATTAATGATTTTTGCAGTGCAGTAGCTATTGCGTTCCTACGAGAGGCTCTCTGGTACTTCTTACATCAATCAAGTGGAGAAACATTGTTTCTCGTGGTAATGGGGAGGAGATCCTGTAAACTGTAAATCTGTAACATCAGCACCTGTCATGAATGAAATGCGTGTCCTCGCCAGCACCTCCCAATCTCTAATACAGTACATGCTCCCTCCCTCAGACGTACAAATGTAAAGTAGATGTACACACACTCGCACACATACAGACGGAACATAAAACACGCAGATTCAGGTCGATGTCAATCTGATCCATAAATTACTAGCATCACATTGTTTCATATAATAACTACTTCCAACAGCACAGGCCTCAGTTTGACTTTGACTCTTACTGCTGTTTTCTTCTTGGGAAATTTGACTTGATTCAAAATCCTCGCTTTCTTATAGAACATCAATTAAAAAAAGACTAGGAAGCGCTATTCTGGCAACTCATCATAACATGACATTATAATGTAGCAGTATGAAAAAAAATTACATTTCCTTTCATTCCCAAAGTAAACGAACTGCAACGACTTCAACTTCAAAACCAATAGTATAGTATCCACAAATGACACATTACTCGAAGAAATAATGTCATAGGCATTGCAACTACAAGTAAACTTTTTCTTTTTTGTTTGACAAATCGACTGCATTTGTACGAGCAGTCCGAAGTGAGTAACAACTACAGCCAGTGCTAATTTCTGCTCTTTTTTAAAATTATTTTTCCTCCTCCTCTCAATGCGACAGAGCCACGACGTTTGCTGCCCTCATTTCGCAAGGTGCATACAGATCAAAGAAACTTCATCTCTGTCCTGCACATTGCAAATGCATATACAGTACACAAAAACAAGTATTTCCAGGATTATTAGGTCTATTTTCAGGGGAAGGTTGGATCGGAGGCCTTCATTTGGCTTGATTACAGTGTGAGATTGCTGTAATGGAAAGTGAGCCGGTAAAGTATCAAAATACACCAGCTTCCTGCGCGCTGAAAAAACAATTTGTGTTTAGTGTTGACACCTTTATACATCACAAAACAAAAGGCTTATGTCAGCATTCACACACTGTATTTTCTGTTTGCTGCGCTGGAAATGAACAAAACACTACTCGCTGTACTCCTAATCGACTCCTACGCACAAGTGTTTCCGTGTTTTTTTCCATTAAGGCCGCATTCATCACCCCCAACAGAATTACCTACAATGTTGTCTTTGAACTGCATCCATATTACTTCTGGGGAGTGATCTATATGTGCTTTCAGCATCTCTCCTCCTTTGTGTAACACTCAAGCTCATTCTTCACATATTTTATTGACACTCACTATAGGAGACCTGTAGTTATTTATGATAATAGCAGTAATACATGTAAAATGTGTAATTTACTCATCTTAGATGAAGCTATTGTGCAAATTATCTGCAGAGACGCTAGTACTAAACTTCAGGAGGCAGTGGATCTACTTCTTTCTTCATGCACGACTGCTCTTGGCACTGTTCTTCCGGGATCTTCTGCTGAGGACTCGCAGGCCTCTCCTCCACTGCTGCCACGCATTCCTCTGAGCACAGAATAACATCGGTCAAAGGCTTGTCTTCATGCTTATCTTCCTTCAGCTCCTCTCCTCCTTCTTGTTTCCTTTCCGCAAACTCATCTTCTCTTGCATCTTGTTCCCTCACCAAAGGCTCCTCCTGTTCAGCTTCCTCTGTTCTGGGCAGCGTCTCAAAGGCTCCAGGCTCTATGGGACTGAGTTGATAGTAGAGCAGGGAAGAGGAGTCTTTGAGGAGGTCAGAGGGGCTCTCCTCCTGGTTGTCAGTGATGCACAAGACCGTAGCCCCTGTAGGGAAAGGCCCCTGCAGGAGGACCTGCTCAACACCTGGAACTTCTGCCTGCTCAGGCAGCTCCCCTCCCAAGGCACTGGGTAGGAGGCAAAGAGGCTGCTCTGTGAGCCCATCAGCACTCAGCTCTGGCTGCACTGCTTCCCCTTCAGCCTCCTCCCTCTCCCTCCTCTCCTGCTCCTCTGCGCTCTGCAGGTGCAGCACGGCTGTCTCGTTCTCCCTCTCCAGTATATCCTGCTCCGCCAGAAGATCCTGAACCTCCACGACCGACTGCACCTCGCTCTCCTCCAGCTCCGAGTCCAGGCCAGCGACTGAAGAAAGGTCCGGTGAAGTGGGACACGTGGAGGAGGGGGAAGACAGCGGGTCTGATTCAGCATACTGGTCTCCTGTTCCTTGTATGAGCATCCTCCTCTTCTCCACGTCCAGCTTCATGATGGTGTGCAGGTAGTGAGTTCTGACACGTAGAGGGTTGAATTCAATACGACCTGCTACGTTGCCGCAGCCATCCCTAGAGCAGCCACACGGGAAAGACATTCGATCCACCTGAAGAATAAGGCAGAGGTAATTTACTCTCATTTCATCTTGAAAGTAAAATGCTTAAATACTGATTAAATTTACATAAGTTATGAAAGTGTTTACGGTTGTTCAGGAGATCTAGGAAAATCTAGGAAATCATGGCAATCAAGAGATAATCTGGTTACTGTGCAACAAGTCAGGCTGAGACAGAGATGTACTTCCTCCTAACAGGTAAAAATATAAGCAAATGAGACAAAAGATTCAGGTTATTATTTATACACCAGGTGTATAAATAAATGATAACACAATGTCTGATTTACCGCTTCATTCCGATGTTTTATGAATTCTGATTTCACTGCACTGATCAATAAAAGCGTGCAGCCGGTTCTGGATCAGATAACAGCATTGCAATAGTGAGGAAAGAGATAACAGAGCAAGCAGAATAAAGCATCTGCCTCTATAAAACACATCAAGTGAGTAAATTCTCAAAACTTTAACAAAGTTGCTCAACACAGCTTGCCTATGCATTCACACTGTTTAACTTGCTGCTTAAAAATGACCAAAGAATAAAGATATTCTTATTAGAATCACTGAACTGGTTTATTTAGCTGACATATATCTGCTCCCCAATTAAACGGGACCTTCCTTTCCCCGTGTTCCATCTAACTACCAGATTTCAGGAAAAGTGCTAGAAACTGGCTTTGTATTTTGTTTTTTGGTTGTTTTTTTCATGATCGTGCTAAAAAGAAGAGAAGATTTAAGAAAAAAACCCCAGCTCTGATCACATCTCTTCGCCTCAGCACTCGCCTTAGCCGAGAAAAGAGAGAGAAAAAAACCCCACATAAAATCAGATGAATAGGCTTTTTTCATAGCAGACATTTTAAGCTATCGTAGGGAGAGCACCAGTGTTATTAATAATATTAACAATGGCTCTGTTATACTCGAGAGCCCCAGAACGCCATGACAATGTGACAGCGAGCCGGCACGCAGCCTTCCACCAAACCAGCACACTTAAACAGAAGCAACAAAACAGGAGTCAGTCATCATTTGTTTCTATTATTTATTTACTAATGCGCTTCCCTCTCCCTGTGAAATGTCAAAACACCTACAAGTGAGTGAAAAACAAATTGAAAGGAAAGGAGGTTGAAGTCATCTGACGCCCTGTCTTTGGCTTTTTTGTGGGGAAGTGTGCACTGCAGGCTAACAAGTTGTCACAATCTTCTCTTCTGCTACTGCGCTACATGTTTTTTCTCTGATAGACATAGGCTGAAGTCTGCCGGCAGAGAAACAGGATGACAGGAACTAGCGTGGCCATAAATGAGGGGAGACACTGTTACGGAACAACCAAATATTTTGTATTTATTGTTATTGTTATTTATTTTATCTTAGGGGAGAAATACTGAAAACCAGCATAAACTGTTTTAGTCAATTGTTGGGCATCTACATGCATCAGTGCTACTGAACTCTCCTGAGGGGATGAACGCCATTCTTCAAAAAGATATTCCCTCATTTGGGGTCATAATGATGATGATGGTGGTGATGCTCTGCAACACATCTGACCAAAATGTCCCACAGGTCTTCAGCTGGGTTGAGATCTGTAGGCTGTAATGGCAACAGCGTGTAATTGAACTCAAAGGGGGCCATTGTAATCATGGAGGAGACCACTTCTCTCAGGATAGAAATGTTTCAGGATCACTCAAAGCAACTTTGGCTTGATTTGCAGTGAAACTTCCCTCTTAGCGTACAAGCAGCAAAATGTCACTCAAAGTTTAATTCAAGAGTTCAGTTCAAATAAAAGACAATTCAAATACTGCAAATGTGTTTTTGAAGTTTTTAGTCTCAGCAAACTGCAAAGAAGCTCTCCTCTTTCTGCAAATGCACCCAACTCGCTTTCAACAGCTCTTACCTGGCACTTAATACCAGCCTGGCTGCAGCCACAATGGCGAGGGTCACAGTACAAACGGCAGTCGCAGCCGCATTCCTCCCGAGAGAGGCGGATAGCTCGGAGCTCAGCTTTCTCACGCGCATCGATGCGGGTGATGCCAGAGGCTCGCAGGAGGGCTCGACGCCGTTTGGTGGGCAGCGGCTGAAGGAAGAAACAGTCGTCCACTTCCACGCCGTCCACGTCGAGATCCTCATCCGACACATCGTCCAGAGTCAGCAGCTCCGCCTGAGCGCACTCCACCGTGCCGTTCCTTGTCAGCTGTGGACGACAGCGTGGAACTGTGAGCTGAGGTGAAAAAGGAACTGATTGCCTATTTTAAGCTCAAGTGGTAGATAAGTATCCTGAAGAGTGATACTTCAAAAACAATTATATTTGCAGCTGATTTAGCATTTTGAACAAAGGGTTTTCAAATGGAGAATGGTGAAGGAAGTACTCCGATCTTTATTTAAGAAAAGGCCTCAAAAAACTAAAACTCCTGCATAAATTAAAGGACACAAACCCAGATATGATTTAATGAAAATAAGCTATCATGAGAAATTAGTAACTTTTTGCTGTATTACATTGGTTAAGTGTTACATACACATTAGCTTGTATGTAAGCGTCATTTTACAGCTGGTCCAAACTGAACTCCTTTTAAATACTTTCTATTTTGGTAGTTTGGTTCACTGGTTCCCAGCCTGGAGGCCGGAGCCCTCCAATGGGTCACAAGATAAATCTGAGGGGATTATGACTTGATTTATGGGGGAGGAAAGAAAAAAAAACTAAGTTTCACTAAATAAACACATATGCATCTTTTGTATCGCTCTTTAATCTGTGTGAATTTGTTTGAAACATCAGTGGCCTCAAACAGTTATTGAAGTAAAATTGTTTCAGGAGTTTAATGGGGGTAATTAGTCTTCAGCAGGACACCTAGCAACTCACAGGCATGGGAACTGTGGAAAGGGGCCCCAGCTCGACTGTTTTTGTACGGGGTCACAAAGCAGAAAGTTTTGTAAAGTCTTGAAGGACAGAGCGGAAGTACATGTACTGAGTCACTACTGCAAGTGGAGACATGCAAAGTGCCCACAGCTGGAAGATACTACTGTGCTTTGAATTTTGACCCTCTTGGGGCACGACTGATACGTCTAATCTACCTTCATCTTGCGGGCATTCAGCTTCTCCTGGCGCAGGTGCTGTTGCAAAGTGTGCCGGTGACTGGTTTCCTGTTCGCGTGCAAACTCCCCCAGTGTGTAGTGTCTGATGGAGGAGTGGTGACGGGCCATACCCAGGGAGCTGCCCCCTTGGCTGGGCACGCTGGTGAAACCCTGCCGCCGGGGGAAGTAATACACCGTCACCAAATCAAAACGTACGCGTTTCCCCCCTGGTGACGGCTTGTGCTGCCTGAGGATAGAGGTGGCTAAAGCGGGGGAAAAGGGAGAAAGATTTTCAATACAGTCTTACACACCAAATACTAAATACTTGCGTTGATTAACTGTTCAGTTTCTTTCGACTTCCTTTAATGAGATTCTTACGGGTAAATGCAGTGCTAGAGGGAGGGTTGAGGCTGTCACAGCTGTCAGCACTGTCACTGCTGGAGATGTCATCGTCAGAGTCCTTAGGTGTAGAGAATGGAGAGCTGTTGTCCACCTCTTCATATCTTCGTTTGAGGCTGAGGGACGAACCTGCCTCCATGGAAACTTAAGTATCTGGGGGCACAGAGGAGCACAAAAAAACATACCCGGCACCAGTAAATGTGTTTCAAAAGATGTGAACACATGACACATTGTGATTTACTACCACAGAAACAAAATGCTCGTGTTGTCACTTAGAGAATGAGCTATTTTTTTTATCAAACTGTTCCTGTGTAAGGTCAGCCCTTGACAACACAAACAGAACAAAAAGGTGACATCTGTTCGCTCCTGCCTCCTTTCATCTGTATTCCAGCTCCATCATTTCGTCTGTGTGGCTCCCATCTCACATGAAATCCGACTTTGAAATTATCAAGTCTGAAAATGTAACCATGGCAACTAGGCAAGCACAGTTTATGCAAGCAGCCTTGAAGCAAATAATGTCTGTGGCTTCACAATCTGTTTTTACCCCTAAAGAAAATCTGCTATAAACTGAGTGTAGGGGGAGGGATGGATATGGGTGAATTTGAAGGAGGGAGCTGATCACTTACATCTGTAGGAGAGGTCAAACAAGGTGAATGAAAGCAGCTAAATACATGTCTGATGTTACACTGTGTTATGTCCTGTGCATTACACAGGCATCTGCATTCACACAGATACATTCCAAATAATTATACATCAATATTAACACCGATGATTATATCCCATAGAGACACTATATCCATCTACCTTAAACCTACCATATTACTACCATACATCCTATAGTGTGAACCAGCTACTTCTCAAGGTAATTCATATTTCACTATGCAGCATGAATCTGCCTGCAACATATTGTAATGTCATACCAAATGGAGCAACTCCCATTCTGTAGTTTTTCATTCAGTTTTTTTTAAGTGCTTGCAGGAAAATGTTCAAACTGACACGTACATTTATAGCATAATTTATGTAATAACTGCACAATTAAATTTGTCCTTCAGCTAAAAAGAGAAAAGGGATGTGCTGATACCAAAAAGCTGCTCAAATGCAGTCTAAGTGATCTTTCCTGGAACTACTTCTGAGGGGGGGAAAGTCCAAAATTATCTAATCTATGTCCTAATAATAATTATGAGCATTAAAGACTAATACCTTGACCTAATTTCAACAAAATTACCCACCTTGACAGGCTGTAAGGGACAGGGCCTAACCTGTAAAGATGCAGCTGTGGTTATGACACCAAATGTGTGCCCTTTTTTAAAAACCAGAGTAACACATCTGACATTAAATGTTTATTTCAGTTTAGGAATTTAAGGCTTTTCTTTCAGGACTTAAGTTTGCCTTTGACATGTTACAGGATGTTTACCGACAGGTGTGACTTCACGGTATATTACCCGTCAGGGACACGCAGTTTAGAGGAGCTATTTGTTTAAATGTGGACATACAGACTGACTGTGTTGGGGGAGGTTAGATATTGCCAGTCTGACAAGGCAAGGCTCTCTCTTTCTATCTGTCTCTCTTTCTCTTTCCATTTCACACACATACACACACACAGAGAGAGAGAAAGAGACACACAGAGACACAATGGCAAACCGCCCGGTTAATGAAACACTAAACCCACTTACCTGGGGCAGAAACAGGGACCCTTATTCCAACCAACTCGTAGGTCGTTTCTGTTTCCAATAGGAGCTGCACATCAATCTTTCAACGCCCTATGAGACGCTCTTTTATGCCAAAACCGAGATCCCTGAACGAGTATCCAGACTGCAACCGTGGAGCCGAAGTAATCTGGATGAAAGCTTGCGTGATTGTCAATTTGCAACACTTATATTTGGTTATTTCAGGCTACTTAGGCTTCATGCTCATTGTTCTGCACACTGAAAGATGACGAAGAAAACGGGAGCTGTGCAAGACCGGCGGGTTTTATTTAAATGATGCATTCCTATCTATTTAAAGGACAGACGATAGGAAGAAGGGGCGTCATGGGGTTAGCTGCGCTTTAGTCTCCAACATTTTTCGGTGCAGCATGAATAATGTAAGACCCTCAGTGTCTTGTCTTCCTGATGTAAGCCTTTAAATGGGTGTAATGGAGAAATCCGCTGACATCTGTGTTCGTTTATCCTTTTCTTCTCGCCGGGGCGGGTTCAGTCGTCTGGGCTTACTTCGCCGTCTTCTCGCAATAACGGTGCGCTCTGCTCTTTATCGTTTGGTGTCAAAATCTTGCAGGTTTTCTAGCGAGAAGACGCCTTTCTCCCCGCTTCGCCCCGGCCCCGTTTGTTACAATGTAACAATGGAGGTAGAAATTCTTCCCTGTAGCTGTATATATACTTATTGTGACATCACGGGCATGTCCTGCGCCGGGGTATGCTGGGAAATGAAGTATCTATTCTTTTTTTTTCCTGTTTCTTTGTTCATATTGTGCAGAAGCAGATGTGCAAAGCACTAAACCGTAGTGCGCTAAATTAACCTGCATTTAAGCTTAATTTGGTTAACAGTACATGCTAAAGTCTAGTCAAATGTAAGTGACTAGGCATCCACATCTGTACACCAAAGGGACAGATGTGGAGCCTGTGCTAGATAGTGCCAATAAAATATCATGTCTCCTTTTTTAGGAAAGCTTCAAAACATTTAGTTTAACATTTAGTTTAACACTATTTCATATTTTTAAAGAAAGACAGCAAATAGCAGCCAGTACATGGTTAAGTTTTAATAATGCCAATGAGATGAGGGGCAAATAGGCTATCGAGCCATCAATTCCATTTACAAAATACTCAACATAAACCATATTATTCACATTAAGCTCTGTCCTGCCGCAAAACTTATTTATTAGCATTTGTAACATCCAAAAAAAGGAAGCAGAGTAGATGTAAGTACGTAAAAAATATTTTTTTTAAATGTCAAAAAAAAACATGATTCATTATTTTAAATTATTTTAAAACAATGATCTATTTCAAAAATTATGATGGAAATGACCAAAAAACAAACAATAAAACGCCGGTGTGCTAAACAAGCTCATAGATACAGGAAGCAGATGGAGACAATTTGCTGGTGTTACCACGGAGATCACTAACACAGACAGTGCTTATCATCTTTTAAGACGATTAAGTAACAATCACATGTGCCAGTAAGCATTCTAAACAAACTGTGACAATCTAACAGTGTTTAGTAGCCTTTTTTTCCACAGAAGTAACAGGCAGACAGTGTTAGCTTTCAAAGGAACCTCGGATATTTGGAAGGGCAGCTGGATTCTAACGGTTTCCTTTAATTGTCCAGTTGTTAATTTTAATACCTGTTGTACTATGATTCAACTGAGTGGTTGTGTTTCTTGCAGACTGGCTTGGATTCGATAAGGCAACCGCGCATGAAGAGGAGGACTCATGCTGAATTGCAGGCTGAAAGTCAAGTACTGTCATCTTAACAGTCATCATTTCTTTTGTTTTTTTACAGAGAGAACAAACGGCTGAACTCGAAGCAAAGAGTCTTGGCACGCCAGATGGTCAGGTAACAAACAACAGCAGATGTAGTGCCATTAACCTCCTTCTTGAGATGTAACCAACAGAGGGAAATGCAACCATTTAAGTGAGCAAACGGCAGGGTAAGACTTCACTGTGGAACCAAAGTCACTCCCTCAAAAGTCAGACGATAAGGTAAAGTTAAAAGAGGGGCAACTGTTTCAGTCGCATCTTCCTCCTAGCTGCCTCACAAGATTTTTGTTTTGGGGTTGGTTTTTTTTTTTTTTTTTTAATGTCCCCCCCTATCTGCTTTTGAAGACATCAACAAGACATCAATCATACATCGATCTACATCATCTACATGCTGTGAATGAATTGTCACCTTGGGTGGTCTCAAAAATATGTGGAACAACCAGTCCTTGAGGTACTCTTGTTTGGGTGGAAGCTTGTTTAAAGAGAGAGATAAGAGTATTACCCACCTTGACAGGCTGTAAGGGACAGGGCCTAACCTGTAAAGATGCAGCTGTGGTTATGACACCAAATGTGTGCCCTTTTTTAAAAACCAGAGTAACACATCTGACATTAAATGTTTATTTCAGTTTAGGAATTTAAGGCTTTTCTTTCAGGACTTAAGTTTGCCTTTGACATGTTACAGGATGTTTACCGACAGGTGTGACTTCACGGTATATTACCCGTCAGGGACACGCAGTTTAGAGGAGCTATTTGTTTAAATGTGGACATACAGACTGACTGTGTTGGGGGAGGTTAGATATTGCCAGTCTGACAAGGCAAGGCTCTCTCTTTCTATCTGTCTCTCTTTCTCTTTCCATTTCACACACATACACACACACAGAGAGAGAGAAAGAGACACACAGAGACACAATGGCAAACCGCCCGGTTAATGAAACACTAAACCCACTTACCTGGGGCAGAAACAGGGACCCTTATTCCAACCAAGTCGTAGGTCGTTTCTGTTTCCAATAGGAGCTGCACATCAATCTTTCAACGCCCTATGAGACGCTCTTTTATGCCAAAACCGAGATCCCTGAACGAGTATCCAGACTGCAACCGTGGAGCCGAAGTAATCTGGATGAAAGCTTGCGTGATTGTCAATTTGCAACACTTATATTTGGTTATTTCAGGCTACTTAGGCTTCATGCTCATTGTTCTGCACACTGAAAGATGACGAAGAAAACGGGAGCTGTGCAAGACCGGCGGGTTTTATTTAAATGATGCATTCCTATCTATTTAAAGGACAGACGATAGGAAGAAGGGGCGTCATGGGGTTAGCTGCGCTTTAGTCTCCAACATTTTTCGGTGCAGCATGAATAATGTAAGACCCTCAGTGTCTTGTCTTCCTGATGTAAGCCTTTAAATGGGTGTAATGGAGAAATCCGCTGACATCTGTGTTCGTTTATCCTTTTCTTCTCGCCGGGGCGGGTTCAGTCGTCTGGGCTTACTTCGCCGTCTTCTCGCAATAACGGTGCGCTCTGCTCTTTATCGTTTGGTGTCAAAATCTTGCAGGTTTTCTAGCGAGAAGACGCCTTTCTCCCCGCTTCGCCCCGGCCCCGTTTGTTACAATGTAACAATGGAGGTAGAAATTCTTCCCTGTAGCTGTATATATACTTATTGTGACATCACGGGCATGTCCTGCGCCGGGGTATGCTGGGAAATGAAGTATCTATTCTTTTTTTTTCCTGTTTCTTTGTTCATATTGTGCAGAAGCAGATGTGCAAAGCACTAAACCGTAGTGCGCTAAATTAACCTGCATTTAAGCTTAATTTGGTTAACAGTACATGCTAAAGTCTAGTCAAATGTAAGTGACTAGGCATCCACATCTGTACACCAAAGGGACAGATGTGGAGCCTGTGCTAGATAGTGCCAATAAAATATCATGTCTCCTTTTTTAGGAAAGCTTCAAAACATTTAGTTTAACATTTAGTTTAACACTATTTCATATTTTTAAAGAAAGACAGCAAATAGCAGCCAGTACATGGTTAAGTTTTAATAATGCCAATGAGATGAGGGGCAAATAGGCTATCGAGCCATCAATTCCATTTACAAAATACTCAACATAAACCATATTATTCACATTAAGCTCTGTCCTGCCGCAAAACTTATTTATTAGCATTTGTAACATCCAAAAAAAGGAAGCAGAGTAGATGTAAGTACGTAAAAAATATTTTTTTTAAATGTCAAAAAAAAACATGATTCATTATTTTAAATTATTTTAAAACAATGATCTATTTCAAAAATTATGATGGAAATGACCAAAAAACAAACAATAAAACGCCGGTGTGCTAAACAAGCTCATAGATACAGGAAGCAGATGGAGACAATTTGCTGGTGTTACCACGGAGATCACTAACACAGACAGTGCTTATCATCTTTTAAGACGATTAAGTAACAATCACATGTGCCAGTAAGCATTCTAAACAAACTGTGACAATCTAACAGTGTTTAGTAGCCTTTTTTTCCACAGAAGTAACAGGCAGACAGTGTTAGCTTTCAAAGGAACCTCGGATATTTGGAAGGGCAGCTGGATTCTAACGGTTTCCTTTAATTGTCCAGTTGTTAATTTTAATACCTGTTGTACTATGATTCAACTGAGTGGTTGTGTTTCTTGCAGACTGGCTTGGATTCGATAAGGCAACCGCGCATGAAGAGGAGGACTCATGCTGAATTGCAGGCTGAAAGTCAAGTACTGTCATCTTAACAGTCATCATTTCTTTTGTTTTTTTACAGAGAGAACAAACGGCTGAACTCGAAGCAAAGAGTCTTGGCACGCCAGATGGTCAGGTAACAAACAACAGCAGATGTAGTGCCATCAACCTCCTTCTTGAGATGTAACCAACAGAGGGAAATGCAACCATTTAAGTGAGCAAACGGCAGGGTAAGACTTCACTGTGGAACCAAAGTCACTCCCTCAAAAGTCAGACGATAAGGTAAAGTTAAAAGAGGGGCAACTGTTTCAGTCGCATCTTCCTCCTAGCTGCCTCACAAGATTTTTGTGTTGGGGTTGGTTTTTTTTGGGGGGGGGGGGTGCATCTCCATAAAGGATCAGCAAAATGTACAAAGCTATAGAGGGTCTGACTGAACCAGGACTAAACAAGAGAGAAGAACTCGACAACTCTCCTGCCTGGGATTCACTTTAAGATTATGTGGTAGCCGTCACTTGTGTCATCTGAAAAAGAAAGGAATAGGAATCAAAATAAGAATAAAAAATATCAGGGAAACACACTAAGATAAACTTGCAGCAAGACTATAACGGTAAATACAGATAGAGATACACTATCATTTTTTGCTGCCATAGTCATACCTTTCATCGTGTCCAAAACAAAACAAACTTCATCTTGGAAATTCTGAATCATCTGTTGAGAGGAGAGGAAATGATTATGCAGGTGGGAAAACGACAATATGTTTGCAGTTTATGCTTGTGGTAAGCTCTTGAGACCGTAATTGACATATTTCTGTCTTCTTTGAAACTCTTTTACTATACAAAAAACAGATAGTAGTTAAGCAGAGTTCAATTGCTGTATTATACAGTGGGGCAAAAAAGTATTTAGTCAGCCACCGATTGTGCAAGTTCCCCCACCTAAAATGATGACAGAGGTCAGTAATTTGCACCAGAGGTACACTTCAACTGTGAGAGACAGAATGTGAAAAAAAAATCCATGAATCCACATGGTAGGATTTGTAAAGAATTTATTCGTAAATCAGGGTGGAAAATAAGTATTTGGTCAATAACAAAAATACAACTCAATACTTTGTAACATAACCTTTGTTGGCAATAACAGAGGTCAAACGTTTACTATAGGTCTTTACCAGGTTTGCACACACAGTAGCTGGTATTTTGGCCCATTCCTCCATGCAGATCTTCTCGAGAGCAGTGATGTTTTGGGGCTGTCGCCGAGCAACACGGACTTTCAACTCCCGCCACAGATTTTCTATGGGGTTGAGGTCTGGAGACTGGCTAGGCCACTCCAGGACTTTCAAATGCTTCTTACGGAGCCACTCCTTTGTTGCCCGGGCGGTGTGTTTTGGATCATTGTCATGTTGGAAGACCCAGCCTCGTTTCATCTTCAAAGTTCTCACTGATGGAAGGAGGTTTTGGCTCAAAATCTCACGATACATGGCCCCATTCATTCTGTCCTTAACACGGATCAGTCGTCCTGTCCCCTTGGCAGAAAAACAGCCCCATAGCATGATGTTTCCACCCCCATGCTTCACAGTAGGTATGGTGTTCTTGGGATGCAACTCAGTATTCTTCTTCCTCCAAACACGACGAGTTGAGTTTATACCAAAAAGTTCTACTTTGGTTTCATCTGACCACATGACATTCTCCCAATCCTCTGCTGTATCATCCATGTGCTCTCTGGCAAACTTCAGACGGGCCTGGACATGCACTGGCTTCAGCAGGGAACACG